CTCCTGGGTTCTATCCCCAGCACTGGGCGGGGACTGGGGTCTGGCGGTTATAGCAGGGGAGACTGGGAGCCAGGACTCCTGGGTTCATCTGCAGTTGGAAAAGGGGAGACCAGGTCCTGTTATGGAGCCGGACCTAACTCCGTCTTCAGCCTCTGCTGTCCCCTTGTGGTCATTTCTCACCCGTGCCCCCAGTCTGAAATCAAGTCCTGTCAGCTAAACCCCACCCCCAGAGCCCTGCTGAGCCGCTGTCCCTTTAATTGGGTCATTCACTTCTCTGGTCGCTGCACACCCCACTTCAGAGAATGGAAAACGCTTGTCAGGGGAAGGGCAGGGTCTGAGCCTGGGAGCCCGGACTCCTGGGTTCTCTCCCTGGCTCTGGGAGGGGAGTGGGGTGTAAAGGGCAGGGTCGGAGCAGGGGATAGGAGCCCGGACTCCTGGGTTCTCTCCCTGCCTCTGGGAGGGGAGTGAGGTGTAACGGCAGGGTCGGAGCAGGGGATAGGAGCCCGGACTCCTGGGTTCTCTCCCCGGCTCTGGGAGGGGAGTGGGGTGTAAGGGAAGGGTCAGAGCAGGGGATAGCAGACCGGACTCCTGGGTTCTTGGTTTGGGAAGGGGAGGCAGAGTCATTTCAGGAAACCAGGTTCTGCCTCTACTGTGATCCTCTGCTGCCGCCATGTGGCCATTTCCCTCATCGCACCCTCTCAAACCACAGACCTCTTTAATAAACCCAGCGTCCCCCGAGCCTCCTTAATTAGCTACTTTCACTTCCCCGTTCACTGCCTGGCCCATTGGTGTGAATCACAAAAACATCTCGTGGGCAGGGGCTGTGCCTCGGAGCCAGGACTCCTGGGTTCTCTCCCTGGCTCTGGGCGGGGACTGGGGTCTGGTGGGTTGGAGTATGGGGGGCTGGGAGCCAGGACTCCTGGGTTCATCTGCAGTTGGAAAAGGGAGACCAGGTCCTGTTATGGAGCCGGACCGAACTCCGTCTTCAGCCTCTGCTGCCCCCTTGTGGCCATTTCTCACCAGTGCCCCCAGTCTGAAATGGAAAAAGACTTGTCAGGGGCAGGACAGGGTCTGAGCCTGGGAGCCCGGACTCCTGGGTTCTCTCCCTGACTCCGGGAGGGCAGTGGGGTGTAAGGGCAGGGTCGGAGCAGGTGGTGGGAACCCGTGGCAGGGTCTGCACCAGGACTTCTGGGTTTTGCCCCCAGCTCGTGTTTTCCCCAGGAATTGAAGTTGCACTTGGGGGTCGTATTTGGGGGGGAGGTTGGGAAAATGACTAAACTACCAACACTGAATAGTTGACCAGAGAGGAGGGATGAGAGAGTTCAGAGGGGGGCTGAGAGCCAGGACTCCTGGGTTCATCTGCAATTGGAAAAGGGAGACCAGGCCCTGTTATGGAGCCGGACCTAACTCCGTCTTCAGCTTCTGCTGCCCCCTTGTGGCCATTTCTCACCAGTGCCCCCAGTCTGAAATGGAAAAAGCTTGTCAGGGGAAGGGCAGGGTCTGAGCCTGGGAGCCCGGACTCCTGGGTTCTCTCCCTGGCTCTGGGAGGGGAGTGGGGTGTAAGGGCAGGGTCGGAGCAGGGGGGTAGGAGCCCGGACTCCTGGGTTCTTGGTTTGGGAAGGGGAGGCAGAGTCATTTCAG